GTGTTTCGCAATACAATGGCTTCTTCGGGCATGTCTTTACTAACTAATTCTACATATTCATGATTTGTATTTTGGAAGTGTTATTACATCATTGTTTTCATTTTTTTTGTGACTTATGTCACTTACTACTTTTATATTAGTAAAAAAAAACACTTTTTCCACAAAAAAGTTTGTACTTCCAAACATTTGTTATGGCATTCAATCAGATATATAAAACTTGATGGATATAATTGGAATCTCTGGCAAAAAATTAATCTTTTAGGAATACCTTTCCTAAAAGAAATAGAATGCTGGCTCTCGACACATGTTTCTGATGATGGAAAAATAATCACAATAGATTCATTTAAGCTTGAGATTTCGATTCTATAACTTTCAAACCATTTTTGGGTTATTCCCCTGATTCCATACATTTCAAGCTTTGTTAGGACAATTTTGTGATCTACCAGATCAAATGCCCTACTTAAGTCTATGAAAATCCCTAGCGTCTTTTTACCTTCATCCAACTCCCTGTACACGTTGTTGAGGAACTGTGTAATCGTTTGACTTGTGGACAATCCCTTGCGAAAACCAAACTGGTTCACATTAAATAGACCCCATTCATTAAAAAAAGTTATCATTAGGCTTGAAACATATTTTTCATATGGCCTAATGAGGGAAATTGGTTTGCAATTTTGTATGTCAGTGTATTTCCCTTCTTATGAATTGGCACAATTTTTGAAATCTTCAGGCACTCAGGAAAATCCCCTCTTCCAAGGAGCAATTGATCAAGTAGGTAAGAGGGTCACCTATGAAATGTATGCATTTTTTCGGTATATTCGTACTTATTCCGTCGTCATCGGTAGAATTTGAGTTTAGGTTCCAACGTCCAATTCTCCATGATTCTGGCGCATAAATCAAGCTGAATTTGACCGATGGCATAGGTTATGTTAATTTCGAGGATCGCTGTGGTTTATGGCTTATTTGTATACACCTGCGATGTGAGAAAACTCAACAAGAAAAAAGTCTGACAGGGTCAAATCGCACGTTCTCGGTGGCCAGTTGACATCAACTTCACTTGAGATGACCATGCCCTCAAATCGCTCGTGCAGAATATCCAATGTGGCATGAACTGTGTGGCACGTAGCGCCGTCCTGTTGAAACCACATGTCGTTGGTGTCCAGATCATCCAATTCAGGCCTAAAAAAGTTAGTGATCATCGACCTATAGTGCTCGCCGAAGACAGCGATGGCCTGGCCAACGTCTTTCAAAGAAATATGGACCGATGACGCCGCTAGCCCAAAATCCACTCCAAACGGTGACTTTTTCGGAATGCATTGGACTCTTGGATCTCATGTAGATTTGTATCGTTCTAAATTCGACAATTTTGTTTGTTTATGTAATCATTCATTCAGAAATGGGCGTCATCGCTGAAGATGATTTTTCAATGGATATTAGAGTCAGTTACCAACTGCTCCAGAGCCCATTCACCGAACACACGTCGTTGTCTATGGTAGTTTATCTTCACTTCCTGGGTCAGTTAAATTTTGTACGGGTGCAGGCCCAAGTCAGGACGCAAAATTGGCCAAGTTGTGGTCTGCGAACGTCCGAGTTCTTGTGAGCGACGCGAAATCGGCTGCCTCGGAGTCTTCTGCACACTCTCACAGACAGCGGCAATGTTTTCGACAGATGTACGTCGACGTACGAGTGTTGATAGATCGTTCACTGAAACAGTGGACTCAAATCTATCCACCACATTGCAAATAGTCTTCTCGGTAGGACAATTATGGCGACCGTAAAATGGGCGAAGCGCGGTACATTGCCCGAAGAGAACACCCATTTTGACAAAACACTTATTATTTGTACGTGTTGCTGAATACTATATTCGTCCATGGTGATTTGGCTGAATACTATATTCGTCCATGGTGATTTGGCAAAACTGGCTGAATCAATGACAACTCATTTGACAGATGTAGCTTCAACAAGATGGCCGTTATCAATTGTCAAAGTTCTGAAGTCCGTGTTGGACGACCCTAAACATGTCTCCCCGAGAAGCAATTAGCTTACGTGACCAAAGAATCTCCAGTCAATTTTCTATAGATTGGAATGATTGCAAAGACATTCATGGCAATAGATATTGCTTCTTGTGCCTTCACTGACATGAGGGGTGCCTTCAGTAATACCTCTTAAGAATCCATTATTTGATTACAAGAGAAAATAATTACTTACTCAAAAAATGTGTAGGCACAGTCCAGTCAATATTCACAACTTTTTGTAGCTAATCCCATGGATGATGCAATTGGAGTGGCTTTTAAGAATTTTTTAAAGGACAAAACATAAGCACTACAGAAAAATCTTTAAGGTGCTTTAAGAGCGATGCCTTTACGAAGGTAGTGATTCACATTGGATTTGAATCGCTGGAGATTAAATCCATTTGGAAAAACGTTCTCGCGAAGTTTATTCCACATAAACCTAGTTCTCCAAGAGTTCTTGAACAGTGAAGTTCGAGGTGTATTGACCTCAAAACGATGAGCAGTCACAGTCCGTCGAGTATTTCTGATATGTACCGCTCTTGGTGGAATCAATTGTGCCAAGTCACTTGAACACTTCCCGTCAAAGTATCTATAGAAGAGAGACAAATTCCCAACCTTTCTTCAATGATCCAGACTGTCAAGGTTGCATGTGATGTTCATGTCTTCAATCAGGCGGATGGCTCTTTTCTGAATGGAATCCAGCTGCTTTAGGGTATTGTTAGGGGCGGAGCTCCATAAATGAGAAAAATACTCCAAAGAAGGTCTAAGCTGAGCTATATAAAAGATCAAAAGTTGCTGAGGTGTGTACAGTTTTCTGGTTCGGAACAGTGTTCCAAGCTTTTTAGAAGCAGCCTTCGCAATTCCAGCGACATGATTGTGCCAAGACATATTTGTGTCCATTTTAACCCGGTTCGAAGACATTTATCTTTTTGGACAAAACCAATGCCTGGGTTTATTCTAAAAGGAACAGACATCTTTTCAAGTTGTATTCCTAGGAATGCAACAAAAATTCAAGAACAGTTGCTTCTGCTGCATCAAGTTTTGGTGTAATTAGGAAAAAAAGCAAAGTGTTTTGGATCAATACTTTCAAATAGAATGAATATAAAGTTGAATGACAGATGAATCAGGGGTACAGTAAAAGCTGCACTTCACACTCAATGTTATGCTGATGACCGAGTCATCTTCATAGGAAGAAAGTATGATAGGGTCTTCTTAGAATTCATACAACGACCTTAAACCTAATCCAAAGGAAAGACTCAATATTCATTCTACAGGTTACATGAGGTAAAGGTATGAACTTGAATTACCACCAATAAATGGAACTCAAAAGAAAATAAATTACTTAGAAACACGTAAAGTTTGGAACCAAAATGTTCCTTTACTCGTTTGATGTGAATTTCAGCAAAGAAATGAGTGCAATAAAACAGATTGCCATCAACAATGGTTTTGATAGCAATTTAATTGATTCTTTACTCTCCAAAAAACTATACAGTCGAACCATAAAGGAAAATCACTCGTTTCCAAGAGACGAGCTGAAAAATCATAGAATATTAACATATCTGGGCCAGTTTGAAGATTTCTGAATTCCTATAAATAAAGGTATAACTATAGCGTTTAAAACTAATAATAATAACGTGACTGTATATATTAAACATGACCAAAGTGTTTTCTGTTAGATGGATCAGGAGTGTATAAATTGTCTGATGATTCTCGTCTGATGTTTGACATAGATCTAACTGGAAGAACATCCGAAGAACACATGAAAGAACATAGAAACAGTTTCCAGAACGGAAAAATAAATTCAACATATGCTACTCACCTCGTTACAGAGGGACATGAGTTCAGTCATGAATTCAAACTCTTGATTTTCATAAGAAAGGTATAGAAATGTATAAGTACAAAAATTCCCAATATTTAATGGACGATCAAATTGAGTTGAATAAGTTCATGTTACTTGATATGTTCTTACCAGAAAATCATGCTTTGTCAGCCTAGAATAATTAATATGTAAAAAAAATATTAGTTAATTGACTTGTTTTTCACATAATTTTAAGAAGTGATTTAAGTATTTTTACCTATATTTACCAGCTTTTACAAGATAATGAAATAATTGTTTTGATTGGCTTCTGGGTTTTGCCGTGGTCGCCATTGAAGGTATCAGGTAGTTAAAACTAGATTAGAATTTATTATGTGATTGGACCATAAATCAAATTGAAGTATTTAGAATATGGAATGTTTCGAACTAAAAGTGGTGAATCAAATCCTACATGTGTCACGGTTTTGTAAACCTTTTATAGTAGAGAGAAATACAGAAGGGAAGGTTAAACAAGATGAAAGAAATTATAAAGTAATGACATAGAATATCAATTCCAGCAGCCAATTTAGTCCAGCTAAGCAGACACACAATAATAGCTATACCCGGTATGGTATGGTTTACCTAATTCCAAGGTGAAGGAGTTAAGGTGGGGATCAGAGATCCAAGATTCAAGCAGCACTGAAAGCTCCAGAGCCTTATATTTGTGAATCTCAACTAACTTCCATAAAACCTCACTGTGATATTCGGCAGAGAGAAATCTAGAAGATTGATGTGGTTGTAAGGTCATAAGGTCAAAGGCACTGAAGTGACAAAGATGGGAACAAATACCCATTTTCTGGCCAGGAATTCTGTTGACCAATACATGACATTAAAGTAGAGGGTATCATTTGTTTCTGGTGGTCCTACAAAAACCATTAGAACAAATGTCACTCGTGATTCATTTGAAAATACACTGTTGAGATCTAGATAGATCAAAGCAGTCTCTGGTTGCCCTACAAAAACCGTTAGGTGGATCAAAACATTGGATTATAAGTACGATCATGTTGTGCTGAATTTCATATATTGTGTTCTTTAATAAAATATTCTTTGTTGTTAGCCCAACAATTTATAGAGATTTTTTTACAGAATTTGAGCAGTGGTACCACTGCCGTTGTTGCATTATTGCGTCCTAAAGAAAAAACCTTGTATGTAGCGTGGGCTGGAGATTCCCAGGCTATGCTAGTGAAACAAGAGAGGGTATTTCAAGTGGTCAATCCTCATAAGCCATGCAGACAGGTAAGGGTTTTTTTAAATACATATGAAATCAAAAACTTTCTCAATTTATGTTTCAACCAACATTTTAATATGAAAGGGAAGGAGAACTATGTGAGATTATTAATAGAATATACCAGGATACTGTGAATTATTATTCTAAAAATTTCTCTATAAAACAAAATCTTTATCCAAATGTCACGAAAGCATTAACTAATGACTGAAATTCAGGATATATTTTATTGTCAAAAAGAATCAATTTGTCATTGATAAAGTATAAACATTACAGATACCTTAAGAATATTTTAGTTTCAGGTCATAAAAGTATTCTTCAAATAGAATAATTTTGCAAATAGAAAATTTCAAATAACTTTGAATGTTATTCTTCGTCAGTCAATTGTCATTGTCCTTGTTCAATTATGGTGATGTATATTAAGGTCTATGCTTAACAAGACTTTATCAAAACAGACTTCAAAAAGTGTAGCCGATATCACATGGATCACAAGATATTGGTATACAGAATTATTACATATAATAATTACTTTTTCTTATGACATCCACAATTTGAACATACCATTTGAAATGTACCNTACTAATATCTCAACAATTATTTGCACTTGCTGTTCTTCTGGAATGGATGGATGACCTGGAGGCTTTTTGTTATCTACACTACCGGTAGTTGTGAATTTGGATACAAGTTTCCTCAAATATTTTTTACAGATAGGACGATTCGGAAAACGTTCATTGAAAATCCTTTCGGTCTCGTGAAAGTTACACGTCGAACCTTACATAAAAATTGCTTCAATTTTTTCTTCCAATGGACGAGAATTGACCATTTTGGAGATTGTTGGCGTGATACCTTTCTACTAGTAAAACCGAAAACTAAATGAGAATGTTCTAACTGAACAATGATGTTCATTGTCGTACTGTGTTTTTTTTCGTTTTTATAAACAAAAAATAACTTAACAACAAACCTTATCCGGTTGTTGGAATTGCCATATGGCAGATAAAAAGGAATATTTCTGAAAAAATTAAAGGGGGTGAAATTAAAGAAATGCACTGTATATGAAAAATCAGTACAAAGGCTTTGTGAAGGTGAATGTAAGAACTTCATTTAGTTGAGACCCATCTCCACAAAAATTAAACAGTGAACACTGCCTCTTATTTCTACTCTAAGCAGATATTTAACTTTTTACCCCTTTAGTTGTATTTTGTCAATGAAAATAATAAATATGTTGGGAGAAATGAGAATTACTTCCTATGTGTTTTTACCACTTGTATTTCTAACTGAAGTCCTGCAGTTTGGTCTTACAAGGACATTCACAATTGAATGCAGTAACTTTAGTTATGAACCCAAGCTGTATGAAAACATAGGAAGTTTCAATTCTCATTTTTCATGATGGTCTCCTATCACTTAGTAAAGGCTACATCCATCAGTATAATAAATATGTTATTTCTCACTATTATAAACAAGTTAGGTTTCTTAGTGTTGATGAAGTAACCATTATTATTTTTTTATGAATACAACATTGTTTCAATGTTTCAGGATGAAAAAGAAAGAATTGAAAAGGAAGGAGGCTGTGTTATATTATGGGGCACATGGCGAGTGAACGGACAGTTGGCTGTGTCCAGAGCAATAGGTATATATTATTTGATAATCTGAATGAAAACTCCTTACTGTTTTTTTGGTAACCTTCCACAATTTGAAAAATGAACAAAGCTAAATCAATATCACACTTCAGCAGATTCTCTATTGATTCATCTTTGTTTACTTTTCAGATTGTGGAAGGTTATATACATACCCCAAAAAACAGTTAGACGTATTCAGTCCTCCACAAAAAAAGGTCTTTCACAGAATACTGAAAAATAACATTTCAGTGATTGGAAAGTGTCTTAATTACTTCCTATAGAAAAAGGTCGTCTATGTCAATCTCAACTCCTAATTGTTGGAAACATGTTATAATTACTCACAACATGAACTTTTGTTAATAAAATTAATAATTATTTCCTTTTATATAATTTCATCAACTCTTACAGAGGAATATAATGCAGACACATTTTTATAGCTTGTACAATACATCTTATTTGCTTGAAGAGAGTAAATAGAATGATTCATTCTTTACAGATCTTCAGCATAATATTTGATCTACATCTTCAAATTTTTTTCTTGGTATTGATGAGATTATTCAACTTAACTTGCTATAGGGTCTTTCATTGAACGTTTCCCATCTTTAAATTTAAATAAAACACAGTGACTGTGAGAGATACATTGAAATTTTTCATTCATCTGAAACACTTATTGTTGTCATTATGTGTGCAATATAACATCATTCAAATGTTCGCCACGGTTTCTCTGGGTGAAACGCATTATAATAATGATAATAATATTATTTATTCAGTTGGATCATCTATAGATGACATTGAGTATGTCAAAACGTCTACAAATACAAAATTAAAAATACAAACTCCGTGCACTTAAAGGCACAATATACAATTTACATAGATAATAAAATATAATACACAATAGTCAAAACCTAAAATAATCTGCTATTTATTATACTGTATCGTTATTAAAATCGGCCTTAAATGTTGGACATGTACATAGTATATAATAGTCAAAACCAAAAATAATCTGGTATTTATGTAGCAGCATCGTTATTAAAATCTTCCTAAAATGTTACACATGTACAGGGTCTTAAGTTATGACCCATAGGTTATCATCCATATATTCTTTGAGAAAATACTAGGATTTATCCAGGAGCAACTTTTTGATTTGATAGTTATTTGATAGCCATACAACTAATCTGTGTGTTGGCACTTCCCACTGTAAGGAATTTCTAGTATTATAATTTATATTACCATTAAGAGTAGGAAAACTGGTTATATGCGATTTTACATATTTTAATATCTCATAAATGTATACACTTGTAACAGTCAATATTCTGAGATTTTGGAAGATGAGTTTGCAACTTGTCTTTCTAGTAACTCCTGCTATATACCTTATGGTCCTTTTTTAAATTTTGAGTATTCTGGAACAATCACTAGATGCTCCCCAAGCTATAATACCATAGGAAATGTTACAATGAAAGTATGCATGGTAGTACATTAGTAAGAGTTATCTATTTCCATTCCAGCCTAGTTGTTGAATACAATAAGATATTGAGGACATCTTTTTACAAATCAAATCAATATGCTTGTTCCATTTGAGATTTTCTATTATCTTCAAACTCAAAAATTTTGTCTATTGTTGTTGAATTGATCCATTCATTGACGTTACTAGTGAACTGTGATCTGGAGTGGTTCTTGAATGGTTAAAACGTAAAAGCACAGTTTTTCTTTCATTTAACAAGAGACCATTGTCTGAGAACCGCTTTTGGGTTATTTA